AGGCGCCCCGAACCATCTGACTTTAAACTGCATCACATATTACTGTGATAAAAGTATTAATTAATTTGGGGCGCCTGGGCTCAGTCAGGTTAAGCGACCAACTTGGTTTTGGCTCGGTCATGATCTCAGGGTCATGAGATCAAGCCCCATGTTGGGCTCTGTGCTAAGCATGGAGCCTGCTTGGGATTCTCTTTCTCCCTCTCCCTCTGCCCCTCACCTCACCCGCTCCCCTGCTCGTGCACTGTCTCTCTCTGAAAAAAAAAAAAAAGTATTAATGCTTTAAAAAGTGAATGAAACAGCGCTTGGAGGAAGCAGGAACAAAGAGCTCATTTATCTGAACAATTCAGATTCTGGTACACTGCAGGGATCGTTCCCGGAGAAACAGGGAGGGAGCTGATATATGAATCCTGAGCTGGGTAAACGGAGGCCCCCATCCACCAGCATCATGTCCAGGTTGTGCGTCTGGCACTGCCCTCTGGGCTCCTCCAGGCCCCCGAAGTGCTGGGGGGTGGTGTGGGTGGCACACAGAAACCCTTTGCCGAGATGAACAACTTGGGTCTGGATCCAAGTGAGCTGTATGTCCACAGCAGGAGCCCATAATGTCCCTGGCACAGGGTTAACCAACGACATTCATGCTTCATCTTGCTTCATCTTCCTACGAAGGGTGTGGGTCGGGTCCTTTAAAGATGTATTCATATATTTAGAGAGAGAGAGAGAGCACTCATGCCAGTGAGTTGGGGGTGGGGGGGGGCAGAACGAGAGCATCTCAAGCAGACTGAGCACAGAGCTGGAAGCAGGGCTCGATCTCACAACCCTGAGATCATGACCTGAGCCAAAACCAAGAGTCGGATGCTTAACCGAGTGTGCCCCCAGGCGCCCTGGGTCGGGTCCTTTAATGTCCTTGTTCAACCAGAGGAAAATTAAGCTTGGAGACATCAAAGAAGGCATCCACATTGGTTAAATTGACTATGAAGCAGAGCTACGACAGGAACCCAGGTGTGCGGGACTCCAAACAGGGCCACATTGCCTGTTCAACCACTTCCGGTCCTTGGTCCTTGAGGAAGTCCCTTAACCTCTCTGACCCCAGTTTCTTTCTTGGTAAAGCTAACGGTTCTGGCTCTACTTCCCTGTTTGGCTCAAATAAGAAAATATATGTGACAATTTTAAAGAAGCTTGAAGTGCCAATGTATGCAAATGCAAATATTATTTTTGATGACAGGAGGGAGACAGGCGGTCTTGTGACCCTCCTTGGTCTCCTACATAAACTTCAGGGAAGCCAGCTCTGGTGCGGATCCTGAGAAGAGCCAGCTGGGGTTTGGAAGCCAGACAGCAGCTGGGTCAGCAGGCAGGCTGATGTGGCAGGCCACCTCCCCCTGGGGGACCTGTAATATTAAATTCTGAGGATTTCTTCTCCTTCTTCATTTTCCATGAATCCCAGAGTCTTCTGTGAGCACGGTGTTCACAAACACCGCAGCCTTCAGCTCCGGGTAAGCATTTGTGACTGGACTGAATTGAACAACTTTGAATGAAAAACTGTTTCTCTCCTTTTCCCCAGGCGTCTGGACAAGCACAATTTGGGGCCAACTTTTACTTGGTTGAGCTGATTTCATCAGTTCGGGAACTGGAATTTCCAGACATTTACTGCCCCAGTATGCCCCCTGGTGGACAGTCTCACGTTTTATTCCCGAACTTTCTCAATGTGCCCTCACATTCTTAAAAGCCCTCAGAGACTCTTGCAATGTGCAAGCTGGTCTTATTTCCACGCTAGAATGAGAAAACGCATTTAGAGAGAGGAAGGAATTTGCAAGTTCCTGGAACTGCATTTAGTGTCTTTTTCCCCCATTCAGCAAAAACCCAAAATACTGCAGTCTGAGCGGTCTGGGTTTGAGCCCAGTTTAAGTCCTGGCTCAGCAACTGTCACCAAGTGAGGTCCTTTCACAGAATTGAATTTGATCCCTACCAGGCCTTCTATTATTGTGGACATTTGCATTTGGAGGGACTATTCTGTGCAATGAACGTGCTGGAGAACTTGCAGAAGAAAAACTGATGGCTGATGTACCAATCCAACTCGTGCGTGTGTTTTAATGTTTGGTGGGTTTGTGGCTATCCCCTAAAATAGGGTTTAGTTAAACTTGAAAATATAGGCCGTGGGATCTCTTCAGACTTCTTCCTCAGCCACTGACCACTTTACCACGAGTGTGCTTCGCTTTGAAGTCCTCTGTGGCTGCAGGGGCATTCTCCATTCTGGGGGAGAGCCTGCCCTCTGGGGCTCAGAGCAGCGCCGTGGCTGAGCTTGGGGACCTGGATTCGGGTTGCCAGCTTCAGCCCCCACTGACGTTGCCATTCAGTAGATCTGCGACCTCAGGCGAATCTCCTAACTTCCCTGTGCCTCATCTTCCTCCCAGGGGAAACAGGGATGAAAAGTAATATTCACCTCTAAGTGTGGGGAAGATTCAGCCACACAACTTACAGAAAGCACTCAGCACCTAGCGTGCCACAGGGTGATAGGCTGTGCTTCTCTGTGGCTGTTAATGAGCTGACCTGAGGTGTTGCCTTGAAGCTTGCAGTCATGACACACAAGGGAAAGAGTGTGGGTGTTTCCTTCAAATACCTTCTCCCGTGCTATTGCTTTTGTTTCACATATGAGTGAAACCATATGCGAATTGTCTGTCTCTGCTTGATTTATTTCACTTAGCATAATCCCCTCCAGTCCCATCCATGTTGATGTAAAAGTTGGGTATTCATCCTTCCTGATGGCTGAGTAATATTCCATTGTGTATATGAACCACATCTTCTTTATCCATTCATCTGTTGAAGGGCATCTCGGCTCCTTCCACAGTTTGGCTATTGTGGACATGGCTGCTATGAACATTGGGGTGCATGTGCCCCTTCTTTTCATTACATCTGTGTCTTTGGGGTAAATACCCAGTAGTGCAATTGCTGGGTGTTATATGCAACTAATGAATCACTGAACACTACGTCAAAAACTAATGATGTACTATACAGTGGATAACGGAACATAATAAAACAAACAAATACCTTCTCCCAGTAGAGAAGCTCAGCCCCGGTGGAGTCTGCAAGCCCCTCTCCCCAGGCAGGGGGTGTGTGCTGGAAACGTATGTGGGCGTTTTGGGTTGGCCAATAAAAGGAAACACTGCAAGCAGATGGGGGAACTGGATGCAGTGCAAGGGACTGTCCCACTCTGAGAATTGTCCCTGAACAGACATGTCTCTAAAGAAGATGTACAAATGGCCAATGAGCATATGAAAAGATGCTCGGCAACACTAATCATTAGGGAAATGCAAATCAAAATCACAATGAGATACTGCCCAACACCCATTAGGATAGCTATTATTAAAAAAAAAAAAAACCCACAAAATAACAAGTGTTGGAGAGGATGTTGAGAAACTGGAACCTTTACTCACTGTTGGTGGGAATATTATGTGGTGCAGTCCCTGTGGAAAACAATACGGCAGCTCCCCAAAGAATTAAATATACAATTACCATATTTTTGGGTATATACCCAAAAAAACTGGAAGCAGGGAGTTGAAGAGATATTTACAGATACATGTTCATAGGGGCATTATTCACAATAGCCAAAAGGTGCAAGAAACCCAAGTTTTCATTGATAGATGAATGGATGAAAAAATGCGGTCTCTATATACAATGGAATATTATTCAATCTTAGAAAGGAAGGGAATTCTGACACACACTATAACGTGGATGAACCCTGAGGTCATAATGCTAAGTGAACTATGCCAGTCACAAAAGGACGAACACTATAGGATCCACTGATACGAAGTCCCTAGGATAGTCTAATTCATAGAGACAGAAAGTAGGATGGTGGTGGCCAGGGGCTGGGTGTGGGTAGAATGGGGAGTTAGTGTTTAGTGGGTACAGAGTTCCAGTTTTGCAGAGGAAAAGAGTTCTGGATATGGATGGAGGTACGAACACTGTGAATGCACTTAAAATCACTGAACTGGATACTTACCAGTAATTATAATGATAAATTTTATGTGTATTTTAGTATAATTAAAAAATTTTGCCCACCTAAAGTGCCAATAGCATCCCTTTGAGAGATATTGCCAGAATATCTAAAAATAGTCAGATAATGCATGCATTTGGTTATAAGAAGTCCACTTACCCTTTGCATACAACACCCAGAGCTCATTCTATCACATGCCCTCCTTAATGCCCATCACAGTTACCCCATCCCCCCACCCCCCTCCCCTCCAGCAACCCTCAGTTTGTTCCCTAGAGTTAAGAGTCTCTTATGGTTTGTCTCCATCTGTGTTTTCATTAAATTCTACCCCTGAAACTAATAATACACTATATGTTAACTAAATTGAATTTAAATAAAAAATTAAAATAAATTAATTAAAAAGAAAGAACTAACTATACAAACTATAGAACCTAATTAAGGGACATAAAAACAATTTACTAAATGGAGAAACATTTCATACTTATGAATGGGGAGAGTTAATGTTTCAAAGTTATATATTCTCCCTCCTCCTCCAAATTTCTCTCCATCATTCGATACAATTCCAATTAAGTTCTTTTGTGTGTGTGTTTGTTTTTGTTTGTTTGTTTGGCCACATATGACAATGTATTTCTAACATTTACCCGGAAGAATAAACCAAACGACTTCTGCAAAAAAAAAAAAAAGTCCACTCGTCCTTAGGAGACCTATCTGCATGGACTAGTGCATCTGCCCTCCCTGTCCATGTATCCTCTTTGTCCCAGCTGCCAGGGGAACGGGACCCCTAAAATCAGGTAAAGGCGCACTTCCAAGGAGCCAAAACTTAGTGATGGGATCAGGAGGAGTCCTGTAGTTAAATGGGTAGTATCGCTTCAGGACGTTCTCATTTACTTATAGCAATCCACTTATAAATTACGTTTACTAATCAATAAAATCACATTGGGGCAACAACTTGGGATTTCTGGCTTCAAATGATACTTTTGGCTTTCAGTGGAAAACTGAACAGGAGGAAATGTCTTACCTTGTAGATACAGGACTTAGCATTCAGAAAGAAGAGCTCGATGGTAGCATTGTCCTTCAGGTATGAGATGCTTTCTATATAGAACCTGAAAGAGAAAAACTGCTAATGAGCCACAGAAACAGCAACTGATCAAGCTGAAAATCAGCTGTTTTCTGAGCTACAGGATTTGACATGAGGACCAGAACTCCCCATCCCAAATGAAAAAGAAAAAGGTATGATCAGTTGTTTTCATATGGTTCCTTTTTGAAAGAAAGCAGAGTTTTTCAAGCCCCTTTCTAGCACATGAGGACTGCCATGCTTGACAACCTTGACCAGAGCCAGGGAGCTGGGACTCCCACCATAGGGGGTTAAACTCAACCATCTCCTTTCTTTTTCTTGAGCCGCTTTCCAGTTTTTAAATAATATTATTGGATTTTCATACATTGCTTTTTTTTGGTCCTAATCACTGTTGAGTTGGATTTCTTGAAGATAATTTCTTCTGCTCAATTGAAAAAGGAGGCCCTATTTCTCTTTAAAACGGTTACGACGTTATCTTCCCAAAGGTGGTGAAGTGCAATTTGATTTCTGCGAATCCAGAGAGCTGTGGTAAGTGCTCTTAACGCTGTGGTATTAATGCATATTAAGCCAAATGAGAATTGGATTTTTATCCAGATGGAGCTTATAGATTTCTTTCATGATGAGACATGCTGAAATTATTTACGTTTACATTTAATGCACGCTTTTATGCATCGACTTTGGCGTTTATTAAATCACGTAATCAGATTACGCACTTGTACTTGTCTAGGGACCAGCCGTGTGCAGGGAGGGGGTGATGGAAGGCAGAACCTTGCCAGGGAATAGGCCCTGAGTGGGGCCACCGGACACCTGCCTCCTGGAAACTGGGGCTACCCCGAGGTGGCAGTGGCAGGTGTAACGGGAAGATAAGGGCTAGGTCCTTCTAGAACAGCGCTACAGTATGATGGAAAGAATCCTGGGGAGGAAGTCAAGAGACCAGCGATCTGGTCCCAGCTCTGTATGATTTAGGGCAAATCACTTCATCTCTCTGGGCTTCTGTTTTCCAAACTGTAAAAGAAGACCGCGGGACCTGGTCAGTGGTTCTCCACCTAAGAAGTCTACGGCTGTAAAATATTGGAAACTCATTTGGATGAAGACAACAATAACAGCAACAAAAACAACAAACCAACATTGCATGAGGCTAATAAAACACACCCCTAGGCAAGGACAAGCCCATAGACCACCAGTTTGCAACCTCTTGTCCGCAGACGGATGTTTTCTGTCATTTTTTCCAGTGTGGGTTGCTGTGATTAATATCATACAGATTCGTTTAAACTTGTGAGTGAATCCAGAGTAACTTCAGATACTAGCAGATATTTTCAATCAACAGGTATTAATACAATTTCCCCTCCGGGTGAGAGTCTACAAAATGTTTGGAAATTATAGTATGGCGCTCATTCTTGCAAAGAATGGACCTCTGCCACCTGGTCTCTCCCTGCAAGAAAAAAAAAGAAGCACCTGCCTCTTGCTTTTTTGGAGCAGGTAATTTAAGTCATGGAGGCTCCATAAAGGCTCTACAGTGGTCCCAAAGGAACACCCGGGTGGCTCAGTTGGTTGAGCAACTGCTTTCGGCTCAGGTCATGATGCTGGAGTCCCAGGATCCAGTCCTGTATGCATCAGCGGGGATTCTGCTTCTCCCTCTGGCCCTCCCCGCTCTCATGCTCTCTCTCTCTCAAAAAAAAAAAAAAAAACTTAAAAAAAAAAAAAAGAAATGCAGTAGTAAACTCTAGGTCTTAAAGCAGAATAAGTTAAATTGGATTTAATAAAAAAAAATCCACATTTGTTGTGAAGGATTTTTGACTGGGGGTAGTCAGAATAGCAAAATCGGAAGGAAGGAAGGAAGGAAGGAAAGAAGGAAGGAGGGAAAGAAGGAAAAGGGAAGGAGGGAAGGGAGCGAGGGAGGCCGACTTGCAGGCGTGACCCATTATAGATGGATCCTGCTTCGTGCCTTTGTTCAAGCTATTGCTCTGCACCCAGAAACCACCATTCTCCACACCCCAAACCACTCCTGCTCCCTTCTGCCCTCACTCAGGAACACCATGTTTTCCTGGGCTCTGCTGATGGCCCCCAGGGAAGAGCTCCTCCCCCGGGCTCCTCCTCTGCTTTCCGTGCTCCCCCAGGGTCCTGTACTTCTCTGCTCCCTAGGGCATCTTCTTTCTTGGCTGTGAATGGCCTCCTGGAGGGCGAGGCCAAATCCCATTCATTTTTGTTTATCTCCAGCACTGATACAGTGCCTGGCACACACGAGGACTTAGTAAGTGTCTGGGAGGGAAAGACTGTCAGCTTCCCTCCTCCCCGCGGGCTGCTGGGTGCTGCTCTCAGGAGGGACAGTGAGAGGGGCAGCGAAGGCACTGCAGGAGGGGGAGGAGGTAAGTGACCTCCCACCCATGTCCCGAAATCCCCGGTCGGGGGGCTCATATTCCGCATCCGGGCCCTGCCCCCCTGCCCTTCACTCACTGTCAACGTGGAAAGTTGCACAAGCAAGCCACTGCTCCCCTCGAATCTTAAAGCCAGGACAACAGCCTAAGTTTCTGGAGTTTGACCTCAGTTCTGCAATAATCACTCTGAGTCTAAATCTGTTGGGTCTGAAATCATGTAATTTTCAAAGCAACACCTTGTGTCTTTCCTGCATTTGTTTCAATTCTTGCGAATTAAGGACTGAGAACATTCGCTACCCCTGCCATCCATTTTCTCCTCAATAGTATAAGAAGGAAACATAACACCCTTCCACCCCCAGCAACGGAAAGTGGAAAGGACAGGGCAGGTTCTGTTCTCTGCGACAGTGTTCGTGTCCCCGGAGTTCCACGGGGTCTGGCTGGACACGAGGCAGGAAGGTAGAGAAAATAACCTATTCTGAGATGAGGAAAAATAAACCACCAACTCTTGACAGAAACTGGAAAGCAGTTTCCCGTTAACCTTTATCACCAAGAAGCAGCCTGGAAAACTTATGAGCTCCAGGCCTGTCATATTATTATTCTGTAACCCTGGATATTTAACCCATCCTGAACTTTCCATCTGCACTAGGGAACTTGTGAGTCAAAATGCCCAGAGAAAAACAGACCCCAGACATCTCAATCCAGACACCGAGGCTCAGGGCAAGCTACGGGAGCACCAGGGAGCAGAAACTTCTGGGGAAGTGGGAAACATTGATGGTTTGGGTACAAAATCCGGATTTTTTTTTTTTTTTTTAAACCAGTTCTGTTCTTTTTTATTTCATGAGAGCTCCTCGTTTTGCCAGTAGGTGGCGATGTTGCATTTCCTTAACTACCAGTGCGCAGGTGGGCGGGGGGGAGCACTTCCTCAAAGACCTGGTTCACAAAGAAAATTACGGGTCTCTGGGTAAAGCCGAGGAGCTGAACGCTTTCTTGTAGATTCACAGGGTCTGCAAGGGCACTTCCAAGTCTGGCTCCATATTAACCATGGGTTTCTGGTGCTTTGACATCTGGGGCCTTGGTGGCTCTGGAGGGACGGCCCCTCCCAGTGCTGACCAGTTCCTTAGAGGTGTGAGCTCGCCTTTCATATGCAGACCAGCCAATCAAGAGCTCACACACCCTTCCTGCTCCTCTGTGGGGCTCTCACCCTCCAGGTCACGCACGACCCTCCTGCCCTCTCACCCCAGGGCCCGCGCCAGGGCCAGACAACTCTGGACAGCCCCGATGCCCCCAAGCCTGCTGAAATGATTCAAAGTAGCCAAGCCTAAACCTGATTACCCTGCCTCACCCATTCCTTCCTGCAGAAACCACAAAACAAAGGCTCTTCCCCCCATTTCCCCCCACTCCCTCTGCCTCCTGACCAACGTCCCTGTCCCTGGGCAGCCCTGCCTGGTGTGGTGTGCCCCCTCCTCCTAGGAACTGTGAGCAGCAAGGTGTCTTTTCCATGGCCACCATCTCCTGATGTGTTGGGAGTACCTGAGTACCTGTCCCTGAGTACCTCTACCGGAGTAATAATAAAACTTAACACTTTAAAACGGGCTCTTTGGGCACATTTAACAGGACTGAATCTGATGGCTTTTTTTTTTTTTTTTTTTTTTTTGAGTCAAAGGGCCAACCTTTGTCTTAGGCCAAGGGCAAACCTGGCTAAGTCTGTTCCCTGAAAACCATCGGCAATGTCACACCCAACCTGGCCCAGATGATGCCGACCTGAGACATTGTATCTGACGCTCTGAAGCAGGAATAAATATGTGCAATGTTCTTACGTGTTTGGGCACATAAAATAATCAAGAGGCTCTGAGGCCTTGGGGAGTCTCGTCCCCTGTAACCCGCGGACGCCTTGGATGGCAGCAATCAGCCTTCCTCCTCTGAACCGCTCGCTCCTCCTCTTCCCTCCCACATCCACCCTGTGGCACTGGGGAATCACTGAATCTTTCCAGCAAGTGTTAATTAAATGGACCGCTGATTTCATTTTGTCATGAACACAAGGGTCACATTTGAAATGCTGACTTTTAGTAGCAAAAAGGAGCGACAGGAATGAAAAGGGTATTTGGTGCTGCTGTGAGTTTCTGGGGCCAAATATCTCTGATCTTTAGAATTTCACCAGCTCGAAAAAAATCTTCAGTGGGGCACCCAGTTGAGATCTAGCAAGTTCTGGTTAGCAGGCCCCTCATTTTAGGATCCCTGCCTTCATTGTTACTATGGTGACAGGAAAGAGCAACTGCTTGTCTCAACCAGCCAGGAAAGACCCCAACAGTCAGGCCATAAACTCGGCTATAAAATCCCCACTCCCGGAATAAAGCTTCCTGGGATCACCTCTCTCCCTCTTTTTTTTCCCTAGTGCTCACTTCAGTTTACTGTTGGTGAACCTCAGTTTGAGGAGACAAATCTAATCTCTATTTATCTTCCTACAAACAGTGGAGATGATCAGCGTTGCGGGGCCACTTGGCTGAAGACGACACGACTGAAGGACCAGCCCAGGCGTGGAGGGAACCATTCAGAGCACAAACGTGTTCCTACAGAGATTTCCTCGGGTGTGTAGGGAAATTTTTCCTATAATTTTTCTTGACCTATTTCTTAAGCTTGCCTGGTGAATACGGTC